AAATTCTATTATAAAAGATTACATTACAATACACCTATGGGGAAAACAAAGACACATAAAATACTTTTCAGTTTTTTAACTAAGTGGGAGGGGGGCATCTGTCTGGGGCCCCATTACCCAGGAAGTACTGATACTAAAGTATTACAGCAAGAAATAGTTTATATAAGATACTTTGACAGTAACAAAAATAAATTAAGCCTTTGAAGATAAAAATGTCTGACATTGTTTCTCTTGTTTTTAATATTGATTAAAATAGTACATCTTGAAGAACCCAGGCAAGAAAATGAAATTGTGGGAAAGTGAAAATGCAGGTGGGATTCTTGGTTGAAACAAAATGATCAGATATGCTTTATCAACTTATCTCTATTCTAAGTGTGTCCAAAAAAATTTGTAACCAAGATTATAATTACAAATGTACTATACACTTGGTAGCACTGTAAATCTATGTACTAGATATATAGCTGCATTGTACAACGGAACATTTCCTATTTATACTGTACTCTTCCACAAACCTATATTTGAAGTCTGTCACAAGCTCAGATATTTCCTTCTGGTCTTTTTCACATTTTCCCCTCAACATGCTCTTAAACATTTCAGCATGTACAGCATCAAATTTAAACATCTCTGAGTGACCCAGATCTGGTTTTCATCCTGAATAATACAAGGTTACTGAGAGTTATTGACCATTGTCCACAAAATCCAAACAGAAAAGAAAAGAAATTCATCTTTGGGATTTGAGAGGTAGCATGGCTTTTATTCCTAACATAAAGGTGATCAGGTATTGTATTCAAAGGAGAAACAAATTGTGTGCACTGTTGCAAAAGGAAACAAGATCTAATTAACATCCTGTCCAGTTTTGATAATTAACACATGGCATACAAAGTCATAAATCATGCTGGTATTGCAGACTATTTAAAAAAATTTTAGGCTGTTCTTATTATTTTCAGCAAATGTTTCATGATTCAAGCAAGCAATGACAAATAATCACTGTGCATGAAATTTTTATTCCTCAATTTGAAATTTCAAAGCCCTCTGTAAAACATCTTCCCAAGCAAACTGTTCAGTGAATGAAACACACACTATACTTTCTTGAGGTGAGATATCTGTCAATATTTAACTTCTGACCCCAACACTAGAACAGCCCAACATACAGAACTTAAAACTGAACATGACAAATTTTCCTCTGTAAATCTTGCCTATTAAATACCTTCCGTTTATCTCTCAGCTTTAGAAAAAAAAAGCTTGTTGAAACTGTCAATTTGTGTTTACATATTTGTTTCAAGTTTAAAATATACATTATAATATCACAGTAAATAGCATAGAATTTAAATTTAGAATTTAATTTAAAGATCTGGATGATAAAATTAAGTTTAATCTACTACTGATGTAGCAAGGGGTGCTAGATGTGTGATGAGTCCATGAAGGAGAAAAAGGCTATGACATGCTCTATTTCATAAAGACATTTAGTTACAAAAACACCTCCAAAATATATTCCAACAAATCTGCAGAGGTATCAGAGAATAATAAATAAGCAACTGTGTCAATAAATTAATTATGCAATTTCAGATTGCAAATTTTAATGCAATATCCTGATGGTATGTGTACAAACTCCATGGTTAACTGAAAGGTCAGTAAACACATAATAAATATTTTCACCAAATGCTCTGGAAATTAAAATATTATGCACATGACACAAAACTAAATCTGTACATCATCATTGCTAGCAGCAGCAACACCCAAGGTTGCCTTCAATGCCTGTCTTAAATTTTCACCTACTTCTCCATTCTCATCATCTTCCGTACAAACTCTGTGGTTATCTAAAAGTTTACATAATGGTATTTCTATTTACTCATATACTGAAAAACACTTAAATCTACCCATGAAATATAAATAAAGAGTTATAGCTTTTTTGTACAAAATTTTTTAATCAATAATTGATGAATATAAACACTTTCAGTCCCCATTTTCTCAGTGATTGAATGCACAATTTAATATGATCTGAACATGCTTTATTTCTGCTCATTGTATTTGTAAAATAGAAGGAATCTTTTTAAAGGTACATTTATTTGCTTTCTTCCTTGGAAAGCAAAAGTATTAAAGAATATACAAGTTTTATTTGTTCATAATAATAACTGAAATTCATGAATCTTTAAATGAGCGAACAATACTGACATCATTTTGATAAAGTTATCATATACTCTTTTGATAAAGTGATGTTCTAGTATCACGAAAATAATAAAAATAAAACCATGGAAGCAATAAAACTTGGTCTGAAGTGTATGGTTTTAGTTTTGGGTAAAAGTTCAAGAAAACAAACTGACCTCACAATATTTAGACCTCTATTCATGACATGTTTATGTAGTTAATTGGAACAAGAGTTGTCTGGATCAATCCCTGAAAATCCGTAGAATATTTTTGGAAATAATTAGTGAAAATAACTTATCATATTGGCCATAATACAGGGAGGGTGCCATAACTAACATTATTGTGTGTGTGTGTGTGTGTGAGAGAGAGAGAGAGAAAGAGAGAGAGAGAGAGAGAGAGAGAGAGAGAGAGAGAGAGAGAGAGAGAGAGAGAGAGATTAAGGCAAGACTTTATAATGATTTTTATCTACTCAAACTCATGGATTTAAGAACACTTAATTTTATCCATTTACTTAAAAATTATCAAGTAGTCACCATCAAATTGGTGACATGCATCAAAATATTTTAGAATCCAACTACTGAGTATGATTTCAAAACAATTCTTTTTGTCCATTTAATTTCTTTCCAAGAAGTATGTTTGTTTTGTTTGCATTTTGGGGTTTAACACCATTTTTCAGCACAAAATAGGCTTCATTAGGCAACCAGTATAACTGGTGGAAGAAGAACCCAGGACAAACCTGGTAAGAACCACTGATCCACAGGAAACTACTGGCAGCTTTTTCATAAAACCCACACAAGCTACAGGTGCTGTCCTCATTAAAGGCAGCAGAGGAGAGTGGTTCTGAATAACTTTATTGGAAATGTGCTATCTTTGCTATGCTTGTATCTAAATTAACTGATACCATATTACAGTATTCTAAACAAGATTGTATATACATGTAACTGTTATAAATTAGTTTCCTATGCTTTTCTAGGAGAAAATGTCTCATCCTACTGTGAACCCATAAACTTGAACTAATGTTTTACTGATTTATTTTATATTTTTGGACAGATCATTATCTACAAATAAAATGTGTACTCTATTTTGACCGTCCATTCTTTTAAGACAGTTCATCACTATCTGATATTATTTTTGTGCTGCTGTTAAGTAAGTAATTTTTTACTTTTATTAGCATCAACTGTCAAGCCATTGTGCACCAGTTGTCCAGTTTGTTTAGGACAGCCTGTAAAGAAATTTCCAATTCATGCTGTGTGTTTGGTGTCTGATAATGTTGTGTCAGCTGCAATGCAATCTGTTTATCAAATCAAATACCCTCTCAAAATAGTGGTAGGTTCTTAATAAATAATATAAATAGTAATGGACCTAAAACAGAACCTTGTGGGAGTCCATTAAGTTATTTCACATTTAACAAAACATCATTTATATAACTATTTTGTTTTCTCCCATTTAAGTATGAAGTAAACCATTTAGTTGTGCTGACATCACATTGGTTAATTTTTTTACTGTTGTCTTCTTCTTATCTAAAGCAACTCTGGTAAAATCTGAGTCTGTATAGATCCTATTCATGTTCAGTTCCACTTCAGAAATTGAAATAAAGCAGTGATGAGAATGGGTACCGGCAACAGTCTTTACTTAAGCAAAGCACTCAAACAAATTAAACCTTGTTGCACTGCTTGCAACATCAGCAGCAGCTATTAAAATTTCACTCCATGAATGTTTCCTTTTGCACTTACTTGCATGCTCACTCCAGCAACTAGTTGACAAACTGTACTACTGTATAACCATTGCAGAGACTTTCTCCATGGTTTGTAGCAAAATAAACCCCATAAATCTGCTTCAAGTCAATGGTCATTTTTTGTTCTGGTATAGATTAATCAAGTAACTGACATTTTTATATTGATGACTTACCCCAGCGCTGAAATAAATGATCTTCTTAATGTCTGTTAACATGGTTCTGAGATTGGGTATCAGGGCTGAAATAAATGCAGATACAATGATAACACAATGCTTGAAGTAATCTGAAATAATACAAACATTCCAGTATTTTAGCTCTCCCTCCATTCTCTAATATACTACAAATGGATAGTGTGAGGCTTGCGAACTGTTCCAGTGATGGTCTTGTTGTTGTTGGGCTTAACGCCATTATTCAGCACACGATAGGCTATTCATGGCGGCCAGTATTAATGGCAGAGGAAGAAACCGGAAAATCACCAGAAAGAACCACTGACCCACGAGAAGCTACTGGCAAGCTTTCTCACATATCCACATTCACCGAATCCTAGACTCGAACACATGCAGACAGAGGTGACATGGCAGTGATCCGTAACTGACAGCGCTTTAGACCACTCGGCCACTCGGGGCCCCAGGGATGGTCTTGTACAGGAAAATGAAGCTGCATACTGTAGTTTCCAGCAAAGTCTAGTAAGATAATAGTTCCCAGCAAAGTCTAGTAAGATAATAGCTTCATTTTGATCAAGATCTTTCTTTAGTTTGCTTTGGCATTAAAATAATGTTGACAGATACCATCATACACTTCTGTGGATTGTATATGCAAATATTATAATCATTTTAATAATATATATCCTATTTTATATTTAATATGTATGCAGTTGTGTGTGCATGTGTGTGTGTGTGATTTAGATTTTTAACATAGCTTTAACAATTTGTCAGTCATATTGCTAAGATATCTGCATTGTGGCAGTTTATAATGATGTCTAGCACTGGGGCATCATGTCACAGACATGTAGCATGATGTCCCACCCAGTCACATTATCTTGACACCAGGCCAACCAATCCTAACGCTAACCTCTTAATGCTGAGCACCAAGCGAGGCAGCTGTTAGTAACATTCTGATATGACACGGCTGAAAATTGAACCCAAGATCTCCTGCATCTGAGGCAGATGCTCTAACCACTAAGCTACTGGAGTGGTCATGCATGCAAGTAATTAAATCAAACAGAAACTACTAATTGGAAAATATTTACAGGGTCTGATTGCTTTCTTGTGGTAATACATATGATTATTTTCAGTACTAATCCCATCTCGGAATAGGGAGGTACCAACACAAAATTATTTAAGGGTGAAAGTAACAAATACAGCTAAGATATGCATCTCGATCACAATAAAAAAAACATTATGATAGATAATTGCCCACATGGTCAAACCACTTCTATTCTGAGGATAAACTTTTTTCATTCTGTGTTTGACCTCAGGTAAAGTTTTTCAATTAATTCTCCTATTTATTCATTTGGTACAATCCTCTTGATGTATAGTTTTTAAAATAAAATGATACTTGGTGTTTGTGATGGATGACATTGTAAAAGTGCTACCTTAAAACTTTACAAGTAAATGGACTATTTTACTGCAATACTGCACCCAGGCATTATTTACAGAGGTCTACACAAGGAAAAACTTTAATAAAAATCAGGGATGGTCACCTGAGAATATATGGGTGACTTGGCATGGAATGACCCAAAATTATGTCTATACCTCAGCAACATCCCAAGTGCCTGAGACTGCCTAATTACTTCAAGTTTCTTGAAGAAGAAAAAAAGTTACCTTTAGGTATGTTTTGCATTCAAAATTCTTTTTTCATCATGAACAAATATAATTGAATTGAATCTTGAATACCCAAAAGTTTACAATTCAAAATCCAAGAAATGTTTTCAAGCTGATTACCTAGTGCCACACAGTGGCAATAGAGCTTTTCTTTGTGCATCTGTAAGTACTGAATAAGAGCATTCTGTTACATGTGGATAAATGAATACCAAATGCACTGTAAATTAATGGAAGACTCAAGTTTTTGCTCATTTATAGATATGCATCCAGATCACAACCCAAGGATGCACTTCTTCCATGGCCCTTTAATTTTTCTTTTGTATTCTTTTTTTTCTTTTTTCTATGTACATGCTTAGCTTTTTCTGGAATTCAATATATATTTATATATTCTGCAGTTATTTTAATAGATGCCCTAAGGGTTGTAAAATTTGCAAAGGGAGAATGTCTTTATTTTGTAATGTCTGTGTCAATTTCTTTAAAATGCCATACATCACTAATTAACCAAAACCATTCATAAATAAAACTGTTTTGATTTTTATTATAGCAGTCACTGGATTACTTGTGTACTGTTTTAATTATTGGACATCTCATAATGGATATATATGGATCTATAAGAATTGATAAGGCAGAAATTTTTGTTAAAAAAAAAGAGGGTATGCTTTTATTTGAGGGTGAGGCTTCTATTAGAATAACTACATTATTTACATTTAACTTTTCTTAAAGCTTTTTAATTTCCTTCCTTTTCTTCTTGATATTATATAAGTTTACTGTAATACACATTGACCATTTAAAGTTTCATTCCACATTCCCAAATTGTGCTAAAAAATGAAGAAACAAACTTTAATTGAACACTGATACCATGATACTTAAGCACTTGAAAATTTGAATGATAATTAAATTAAAATAAAGTGTCATGTAGTGGCATATAATTCTGATTTTTATATATAATTATTTTCACTGTCAAAAGTAAAATTCACCATTGAAATGTTACCTGTACCTACAGCAACTGTATTTGTAGATAATAATAATAATAATAATAATAATAATAATAATAATAATAATAATAATAATAATAATAACTATAACAATAACAATGAGGACTTTGTATATCACCTTACCTTTAAAAGCTCTTAGCTCAAAGTGCTTTACAATACTGGACAACATATAATGACATAATTACAAAAAAATACAAATACCATGAAATTAGAAAACAGAAAGCATGCTGAAAAAAGGAAACATTAAGGTCAAGGTCAATCTAAAAAAATGAGCTTCAAGAGTTGTGTCTTTTTGTCTAAATTCAGTAGGTGATTTGTTCCACATTACCAGGACTTGGTATGCAAAAAAAACATTGTCCGAATGACTTCATAGTTGGAATAATGAGAATACGAGATAATGAAAGCAATATGTAGCGCACTGTGTTGGTGATCTGTAACTGCTCTTATTCCTAAAACATTATTTTAGATATTAACCTACAACATTTATTCTTATTGATTCTGTAAGTATTATCAATATAGTGCAACATAATTTACATTTATCTCGCCTGTCTTTGTTAATGAAGGTTCTAATAGATTTTGTAAATAAAAAAAATAGAAATTTTTACGTTCCACCTGTATCATATTAAAGGATTTAATAAATTCCATAAAGAATTTAAGAAATATAAATGTAGCGCTTTTTGAATGGAACTTATTCAGTGTACGTTATTTGTTGGAGTTATCCAAATACTGCCCACCACAAAGGTTCGTTACAATGAATATTGAGTCTTATAACGAACTCTGTGCTGCCCACATACATAGACCAACAAGTAGTCTCTGTTTTTATTTTATTTTCTGACTACTGTCAGAAAAAAAAAAAAGCAGAGACCTACTTGTGTGTCTACCCACATACCCAAATATACCCTAGCCATTCCATGATTATAACATGAGCGTACCGCTTTGTCATTAAAACATTGTTTTATTTTGAACTTGTTAATTTTTAGGTTTTTAGAATACTTGTATTATTATCTAACGAGAGAGAGAGAGAGAGAGAGAGAGAGAGAGAGAGAGAGAGAGAGAGAGAGAGAGAGAGAGAGAGAGAGTGTGTGTGTGTATGTGTGTCACGAAGCTCCATGAAGTTACTCGATCAACAAGGGACACAACTCCTACCGCACGAAAAGAAACGGTAAAGGGTCAAAAAAAACCGGATTGGTACCAAAAAAGGTCCGGGTTAAAAAAAAGGCCGGCTGGGTCCAGAAAGACCAGTAACGGGTCAGAAAGGACCTGGACGGAAAAGGCCCGGATTAAAAAAAGGACCGTTTAAAAGATAGATTGAATAATAATAATAATAATAATAATAATAATAATAATAATAATAATAATAATAATAATAATAATAATAATAATAAGAATAAGAAGAAGAAGAAGAAGAAGAAGAAGAAGAAGAAAAGACAGCTTTTCTACAGTACCCATAACTATTAACTTCTAGTTCGATGACATTTTTACATGTATTGCTAAAACAATAAGCTTAAAAAATGAAGTACTAGTCAATGAGCATTAACACCAAGACAAAATATAGTACTGATAGCAAACAGAAGACCCTTGCTGATTACGCAGATTGTGTACCAATATCATGAAAAAATCAGCGATCGCATTGTACTTTTCACATTTCCTTTACCTGTTTTCTGTCTTAGATTTATTTAATATGTTAGGAAATTTTGATAATCACAATTGAGACGCAAATATAAATCTCTACAATCACAACTCTTTCCCGTGACCCCAGTTTCAACAGAGATTAATGTGTCATACGATTTTAACAGGGTGGGGGTTTTTTTTATTTAAGACTTTCCTGACTGATTTACCCCAGGCGATTTCAGGTGTTTGATACTTGTGCCTCTTTCTTCACTCATAACATTATTTCAGCATCATTTATACTTGTTCCATTATATATATATATATATATATATATATATATATATATATATATATATATATATATATATATATATATATATATATATATATACTTATTTTACGTTTTCTGATAATTTCAATATCTTCTACATGAATAATTTATGTATCTTTCAAATTACTGTGACTGTATCACAGGATAAAGATTTTGAAGCTACTGACCTTCGATTACGTACTTTAATATTATGAAATCATTGCCATTTTGTGTACAAATATGTTATTGATGTTTCAACCATTACTCATGTACAAAATGACGGGTTTTTTTTATACAGAGAAAATGTATAAATGCGCAATATTCATAAATTTCACATTATAGTTTTTATACGTACAACGGATTGAAGCTTGGTTCAATAATTGAAATTGGATTGAATCATATTATTAGAATTTGTATGTTATTATCTTCTTTTGAATATCCAATAAATATAGTCTTTTCTTTCTGCTAGCAACATATTTAATCACGAGTTGTAACACAGTGTTTCAAGATTCTTGTCTACCATATTTTTTTTGTCTTTTGATCTACACTATGAAAACAAGGGCGTTGAAATTATGAACATATGTGTGCAGAATATTAGTAATGTTCATCGATATAATGTATCAAAAATCAACATCGCTGAATTATTTGCATTATTCATTACGTTTTGATCATCAAATTTATATTTACGATAGCGCAATCAACACATTCCCCCTAATAAGTACATTTCATGACCATTTCGTATTCGTAAGCATATAAGACCAAATGATTAAAGCGGATTCAACCACAGCCAAAAAATCACAAAACCGAATCCACTCGGACCAGATCTATTAGAGGAGAAACATCTTTCACGTGACTTTTGGTCTATTCCTATAACGTATATGCGCATGATCAACAACAAATAATAGGATAATTGCAACATATAATACCTATATAAACTGCAAAGTCTTTATTGGTCATCACTGGTTCACGTGCTTCTGAATCTTTTTGTATGCTAATGTTATTACAAGCCATTTATCTTAATTTTAATATTGTTTTCCTAAAATACCTGCTGTGTAAAATTTATCTCAACGACACACAATTAAGTTTCTGGTAGTTATTGTGACATCTTGTTTTACCATAACAGTTTTCCATACCCGTCCATCAATTTATTACGACTAATAGAAAAGATTTTTTAAAGAATGCAACCCGTATAGTGGCGTATGTTCCATGTATTTATTGTGCTCTGAAAGTTAGGCCACGACAACATGCGATTGCTTGTGACGTATGTGGATTTTGGCAACATCGCAATTGCAACACTGGTAAGTACACGTTTAACTATATGCGTTAAGTTTCATATCATTAACGAATTATGAACGTTTTGCCCCATGGACGTTTTGGCCAAGGACATTTCGCCTCACTTCAATGGACATTTCGTTCCACTCAATGGACATTTCGCCCTACCTGGTATA